TCTAGTCCCATTTCGCTATAAATGAAATAAGGAAAAATTTAATGCAGATTTGAAAACTAAATTTGGATTACATAAGACACCATGATTTGAATGGTATATTATGTAAATAATAGTACTTGATCCTTCATCTGTAAAATGTACATATTTCACACTGGTTTTTACACCTTCAGTGAAACTTCGGGGATCAGCTCTGTGGCTACTGTGCTACTCTCTTTCATAGGGTATCTGATAGGAACAAATCAAAAGTCCTTAATTAGAATTTAAAGATTAAGTTTATTCGCAGAAAGCAGGACAGAAAGTGTAAAAAAAAAATCATTAAGGAATTAAACAACAAGATACGTATACAAATTCCATATTAACCACTCCGGAAAGATAGTTTTTTTTTTTGAATTTCTTAAATTGCAAAACTTTAATGTGACACATATACCATGCAGTATCCAAAGCATATTTGTCAATCTGCATCATTTTGGACATTATTCATGCAACTTAGTTCAATGATAGAAGTGTAAATGCTTGAGGATGGACATCGTCGCAAACCACAGCCAAAATGTACGATCCTCTCCCATTCTGGAGAGAGCTATATATGCGGACTCCGAACCGTGACTTGAGACGATGGAGGATGGAAGGACTCTATTCATTCTCCACCACCACCCTCAAAAAAAAAGGCACAATGTCGTGAAGCATTCTTAAAATGTGCAACATCTTACTTTGCAAGATAATTCAATTTAGGACTTGGGTACTTTGGAATGGTTCTACATTAAAACGTTTACCTGATCCTTCATCCAGAAAATATAGGTCAAGTGCAGCATCCGAACTATGACCGGAAATAGACATGCATCAATTCAAAATGCAGCATAGTCGTGCAAGATCAATGTAGGACTTGAGAATGGACGTGCTTAAAGAACATTTATCTGATCACTCATCAATTCAAAATGCAGCATAGTCGTGCAAGATCAATGTAGGACTTGAGAATGGACGTGCTTAAAGAACATTTATTTGATCACTCATCTAGAAAATAAATCAATAAAAGCAGAGTCTGAATTATTAGTGATAGCACACCTCCGTATTGTTAGCGAGTATCATCCATGCACTTTGACCAACATAATTTGGGAATATTTAATAGCTTTTTGAGAAGATAAATCTTTTAAAAGGATAGGATCTATATCATTTTGTATATTTTGTTAATATAGTATAAGTAAACGATATGGTAAGATTGATATTTGTTCAAAAATGACGTTATCGGGAAATCCTCATGCATTGATTGTTGACACTTGTATACTGTATATAGACATATTATTTATAAAAGAAGCATAAATAATATGTCGGTAAAGAAAGATTTCATAAACAATATAATCATTGAAATATCTAGAATAGCCATACTTTTCTGAGGGGTTCTTTTTTTTTTTTAAAGCTTTGACTCATATATATATAATTATAGTTTCACGGTATGCATACAGAAGTTATTCCGTTGTTTCCATTTCGGAAAGGTAATTTCTTTCTTATAATTATCTCCGTCCACATAAAAAATGTGTACCTTTTATTGGGTTCATTTCAAAATGTGTAAATTCTTTCTTGTTACTTTTAAAAGATAAATATGTAAGGAATTACATTAATCTTGGAGAGAGACAAACACGGATGAAGTACATATTGCTATATCCTTCTTCAAAGTTCGTCGGTAACAATTGAAAATCAAACGGTTAGATGCTATAATTATGTAGATTTTATATAGAAAATACAAATTGCTTATCATTACCATTAATTGCATGACCAACAAATCTTGAATTATATTTCAAAAAAGAAAATAACTTTTCAATTCTGGCCATTCCTCTTACAGTCATATTTAGCTATATATGTATGTTACCATATCATGGTATGCAGTTGTTATTAAAGTATTTTGTTCACGTAACAGTGGCGCAGCTTCCATATATGATACACATCTCCGAAAAAGAAAACGAGAGAGAGAGAGAGAGATGTGCTTTGGAAATATTTTTAGTAAGGCGTTCTTTATTTATTCCTTTATTCGGGCGCATTTTCCAGGGGGGAGGGGGGGGGGGGGGTTCCACCCCAGTCTTGACAAGCAAATGGGGGGGGGGTCCAAAGTCATTTTTTTATTTGCTTCAGAATATACATTTCATAACTCTGCAAATTCCAGGAAGGTCCGGACCCCCCCCCCCTTCTAGATCCGCGCATGTTTATTCTTTATTATTATTTTTTATCCATTCTTGAATTGTTGGCCTAAAAGCAAGGTTTGTGCGTTCATGATAGTAATCTGAACGAAACTTATAAGTCCTGTGCAAAAACTAATTTTATTGTAAAAAAAAAAAAAAAAGCGCGACCCTTTTCATTTGTCAATGTTTTTTTTTTAATTTTTTTTTATTGTTTTCATGAATTATGAGATATATATATATATATATATATATATATATATATATATATATATATATATATATATATATATATATATATATATATATATATATATATATATATATATATATATATATATATATATATATATTTGTAACTGTAAATGTTAATTATTAACATTTATATAGAAGGAATGATGAAATTGAACCACCAGTTTAATTACTAACGGCTGGAGATATACATCAATTATGGAGATAACGAACAGTAATCAAGCTCAAAAGTCCATAGAAAAATACAAATCAGGAACAGAGCAAATACGGACCTCTAAAACGTCAGAGATGGGATCAGGTGCCATGGAGGAGTAAGCATTCCCTGCCGACCGGTCACACTCGACGTGTGCTCCTTGTCATGATCGGCAAAACGGAAAAACCCGTAGACAATTCAATTTGTAAATAATGGCCAAACAATTAGTATGAAAAACGTCAGTCAGTATTCGACTGATTGTATTTGCTGACAAGGTCATTGTATCGGCCATAGAACTTGCGAAGTGATGACCTCAAAGGAGACTTAATTGATATTCTTGTTTCATCAACTTGTTTGTCAATAGCCCTCGTTTAAGAAATTGCCATTCGTACGTAGAACGTGCTCTTGCATATCGAATCAACTGGGAGACATAAACCCCACATGCAGTTGATAAGGGTATATTGCAACTTATAAAATTAAGTAAAGGAAGTTGGTGATAGAAAAGTTGAAGTCATCACGTTTATCATATAAGGTTTTGTTGTTAGGTTACCATTAACGTCTTTTTCTAGTAAAATATCCAAATCTGAAACAGATGTGTCAGACTCCGTGGTATCTTAAATTTCAAGTTCATTGGGATATATCGAGTCGATATATGAATGGAAGTAACTATTGTTAATTGATAATACGTCATCGATATATCTAAATGTCAAGTTGAAGGCCACAGAAAGTGTTTTCTTCTTCTCATGTACAAGATTTGAATAAATTCTGCTTCATATGAATACACAAATAGGTCTGCTAATAACGGGGCACAATCAGTACCCATAGAAACCCCCGACAGATTGTTGGAAGACATGATATCCAAAAACTATTTACATAGATATTATCGATCAGAAACTCAAGGATCTTTCTAATATCAACTTCAGAGTACTTGTGTATACAATCAGCCACACTGTTTTCTAACAAAATATTTTTTTTAAATGACCAATGACAAGGTAAGTAAATTTACGAGTTAATTCCATTTTTATTGAAAAAGCAGCTGTCCATGATATCAAAAAGCCTGGATTTTAATTTAGCGTTGGGAATGGTTGTATAAAGTGTTTAAAAGTCGTATGTTTTGATGTTATCGATTTTGGTAAAAAAAATTTATTTCAAATTTTCTAAAAGTTTCTTGGAGTTTTTAAGTATCCACATCTGATTTACAACACTTCTCGAATATATTGTTGTACAGTACTCCTGAATTTTCTCCTTCATTTCTGTTAAAGCTATATATGGCGTATCTGAGTTAAAAAGAAAAAAGATTGAGTGTAGATAAACATAATATATGATATTTACGTTCAAATTAAAATTTTCACCTATTTTGAACTTGAATAACCTCATGTTTCCTTATATAGTTAAATTGACTTTAAACTGTGTCTGACTGTTATTTAAATGCGGAGTCGGTAAATAAATCGGTTATTGTTTTAAAATTCAAATATCTTTGAAACGTGATTGATTAAAATTGTGTAATTTACAGGAAAGTCCTATCTTTATATAAAGTAATAAATCAAATAGAAAGAACTTTTTAATTTTAGCTAGTCTGAACTTATAAAAATACGCCATATATGACTTTAATATTTTAGTGCATGAAGCCGAGTAAAGAAAGAGGCTTAATAGAACATTTACTAGAAATATCTTTGTTTGTAAGGATTTTTATGAAGTTTAGGAATCCAGTAGAGGTATAGTAATTCAAATTCATTTTGACTGTATTGAATATTAAAAATATTTAAAACTGACATATGATTTTGAAGAATTTCTTTCTTAGAAAGGGAGCTCTGGGTATAAGTTGTATTCATCAAGATGAAGACTGATCCCCTCCAGTCCAACATAAGACTTTTCCTTTTTGTGATGCACTGTATTCTCTATTGAGAAGTTGCTGGCTCGTTTAATACTCCCCTTCAACGAGCCAGCAACTTCTCAATAGAGAATATGATGCACTGTTATTATTATTAATTAAAAGTAATTCAGAGACAAACATGAATGAAATAGACATTGAGGATAATAAGCAGCATATCAGCTGTATATCGAAATAACAAATAAAAAAATAATTATTATTTTTTAAAATTTTTACGGTATTAGATAATATTCAAAATGATTTTTTTCTTGTATTGATCAAATTATTTCCCTTACCTTACTCTTTTTTGGACGGAGGTATATTTGCTATAGTCATTTGAATGAATGTCAATCTTCTGAAAAAAAGATCCAATCAAAATTCTTGACACAAAGTAAGCCACGCCTATTAAAGATATTTCCCACAATTTTGAGATATCGATGAAAATAAATTCGCAAATTTTCGGTTTTAAGTTGAACAAATAAATTTTATTTTATTACTTATTAAATCAATGACATTTCATCTTTCTTGATAGTAAGTAAAATGTTTCTCTAAAGCTTACTAAATAGTTTATTTTCGCATTTGTTTTCCCCTACTACCAAACCGGTGTTCATCGTCTTTCATCTCAGTCTACCTCACGCGTGAGATTGTTTGACCTCATTGTTTGTAACTGGTAAGGGCTAGCGTGTCGGTACATTTTGTATTTCCGTACGGATATTCTTTCGTTTTGTGATTGTTGTGCTTGTTTATCAGTTTCAAAATACGTCAGTTAATATGTTGAACGCTGTTTTTTAGAATATATTGGGACAAGTTCTTTGTGTTTCCCTCCAAATATTTCAAGATGCCGCTTCTTCGGCGACAGCCATTTCACAGAATCAAACCACCACCCGACCTAAGTCCAGATGAAGAAGTGTTTCACTGTAAATTAACAAATGAGATATTCCGAGATTATGAGTAAGTGTTTTCTTTTCCTACCCACGTGCATTATAGATGTTGTTCATGATTACACAATGTGTAAAAACACGTTCGTCTGCTGTCGCGGTTCACGTTTGTCTATTTTATAGTCCGCCATTTTACATTAATACATAAGTAATGTATTCGTTTTCGTATTTTCAGAGATTTTTTCGAGAGAGTAATTTTATGTAACAGTCTAGTATGGTCTTGTTCAATTACTGGGAGAGCAGGCTTTACATATCAAGAAGCCTTGGAATGTGAAGAGAAAGCTCTCAAGAATCTTGCCACTTTCCCCAGTTACCTTCAGAGGCCTATCTTATTCCTGGCCAGCCTGACCCACAGAAGTCGCCTCAATGACATGAACGATGACATCTTTGTCTTTACTAAAGACAGATACTTCATTGATGAGATGGTTGAGGTGATGCTTGGCAATGAGAGGTAAAGTGCATGTATAAATGAAAATGAAAGTAAAATGTCATTTTGATGAAAATCAGAAAAAGCTGTTGAAAGTCTCCAATATTGATCTTCACCATCATTTACCTGTTTAATAACCAATTTATGGAAGAAAAATGTATCTATGCCTATATTTACCTTCTTGTAGAACATTTATGATTTCTTTACATTATATTTGTATGTGTTCAATGTGTACGTTATCTATTTCAACTGTATTAATTGTTTAACTTGCACAGTATTCATGGTTACTTTTACAAGTAACTGAATGTACTGTATTGTTAGGAAGCACCTGTTTTTCTTCTGAAAGAGCTTTTAGTTAAATTTGTTCAAGAGGTATGAACATGATGAATGTCATTGACTTGTTTTGATGTCATTATTTCAAAAGATAAAAATATTGAAATTATATTTTCATATAGGAAAACCTGCAAAGTGCTAAGAGTGGTTCCCCCTGCAGCCTCAGTACCAGAAGTGAATGGTTGCATTATAATTGACTCAGATGAAGAAGAATCAAGGTTTAAAAAATAATATTCAAATTTTGAATTAACTGGTCATTTCCCAGAATATAAAGCAAAGCATTAGAAAGTATGAATTCAGTAGTAAATGCTATTTGGACTAAAATGCTGGGTTTGAATATTTCATTTGTCATTGCATTAGCTGTGTTTTCTTGTATACCAGTCCTTGACTATTTTTTTAGTGCCAAGTCTAAAGCAGTGACCCTGAAGGCTGATCAGTACAAGTATGTGGTGCAGGAGAAAGGAAAAACAAATATAACTATAACAGTGCCAGCTAAACATGTCAGGTATATAGTGTATTGTAAATTAGAGAATTAGAAAAATCCTTGTGAATTATAAGTCATTATCAACAACTATTTTCTAATTTCAAGTGTTCTTTAAGTAGTAAAGTTTGAAATTGGTTAAGAAACTCTCAGATATTAATTACTAATCATTTTTGTCACAAAAATATTGATATATTATGGTATTATTTCCATGAATTATTGATGAACTTTGTAGTCGTAAAAAAGGAGTGTACACAAGAGACAAGAGTAAGCTGTATTTGAAACAGTTCTGTGAGTCAGTGCAGGGAATATGGAGAGTAAAGGTGAGAGTCTTATAATTCTGGGAACATATTTCTAATCTTGATAATGCAAAATTGTATTCTTTTGTAAAATGACTATATGCAGTCCAGTTAATATTAAGCATCTATTTTATATATATCTTAACTCTATTCCCCTTTGACCTTTCCATCCTTTACCCCTTAATGACGACTTTTGACGCCTAGTCTCAAACCCTTAATGACGACTTTTGACGCACGTGTATTTCATTGTTGATTTGACTTGAAATTACCGCTTGTTTACAAATTATCAGAGCACAGGTGGCCACCTGCAGGTTTACAATAGATGATTGCATCATACTACAGTTAGAAATCATGTGATTTACCTGTGTAAACAAACAAAAGAATCTTGGAAAGTCCCACCAAAATTCAAAATGGCGGACTTTTACATACGATGTTTTTAGAGCATATAACTCAGTCAATACGCAATATTTTCTCATCCAGTAAAGCATTACATGAAATTCAAGCTATACGCTACCTATTTTTTTGAAAGTTTTGAAAATTATAATGATCTATGTGTATAATAAACATTAAAATAAGATACGAAAATGTTGTGAAGTTCGGGACCGCGCAGTGTCGATTTCGTTACCTGTTTCTCAGAATTTCAGAAGATACCTTCCATTTTACACATATTTATAAATGTGAAGGTGTAGAAAACAATTATTTTAATAGAATTTGATCAATGAAGTAAACAAAAATGTTCAGAAATCAAGTTTTATCAGCCAAGTCTGAAAATTTGTCGGCGAGATTGACATTGAAGTAGCACTACAATTTATTGATTTCTGAGGAATTAAACTTATAAAATTGATAATTAATTATAATTTAATCATCAATTATATTACAACACATAATTTTTATTATTCATACAGACAATTTTGGCTTATTACAGCCGTTTTACATGTTGAAAATATCTATTTTGCGATTTACACCTACTTTCACCTGAATTATTTATTTACAGAAAATTCCGATCAAAATTATGCTAATAGATTTGAAAAATTTAATTTATTACGAATCCAGTGATATATAATACATATCATAAATGAAATATTTTGACCCCCATTAGTTCAGTTTTAAAATGCACTCCAATTCATCTAAAACAATCCAAGGGGCAGCCAGGCAAACACTCTAAGGATATGGCCGGTGCGTCAAATGGTGGCATTAAGGGGTAAAGAGCTAGAGTTTGGAAATGAGAAAGCTACAAGTACATGTATATTTATGTCCCTAGATCAAAGATTTACATTTTTTGGCTTTCTGATTGTTAATGTTCCTCTGAAATTTATCTGAAGTACAGACTAATTTTGGCAAGGTCAAGGTAATATAGGACTGTCAAGTAAAACAAAACATTTTTTCTTTAATTTTTTTTAAAAACCTTGACTTTCTTAGGAGTCAGCAATAAAGAAGAAAGGCCTGAAGGACTGTTCCTTCTCGGACTTTTTTGCCGGTCCTCCTCCTGCATTTGGTTATTCTGAGAGCAAGAGGAAATCAGCGGGGCGTAGGGAGGAAGACAGCGTTAACAGTTCCGATGTATCGGGACTTATCTCCTCAAAATCCCCAAAGAAAAAGAGGGAGGACAAAAGGAAAGACAAAGAAAGAGTTGAAAAAGGTACAAACAATATATATTTAAGTAAAAGAAAAGTTTTCTGAATACTACAAACGATGGGACCCAAGATCAAGAAAGCAAGTTTAAGACCACAGGCAAAAAAAATATAATTTTTGGACATTATCACATGGGAGTAGAACCTCTCTCTGAAATTCTAACCAGATCAGTTATTTAGAAAATACAGTTCCATTTTGCAGACTGTGTGTCTTTTTAATTGTTAATTTTATTTATATCTCATTCTTTAGTTGATCTATCCTCAGTCCCTCCCAAGCCTGAAGAACCAGAGATGCCTCGACTGACAAACGAGGAGAAGGCGGCCATCAAAGAACAATTCAAACAGCAGAAACTGGCGGAGAAAATGGCGCTGAAGGAGGAGATAAAAAAGAAACGACAGGAGGAGATGCAGAAAAGGAGGGAAGAAAAGGCTCAGGTAAATTCTTAACACACTAGTCAATTCATCCGGGTATGTTTGAAGGTCTGTTCATTGATTAGAAAATGTACATGGCTTTAATGTTTGTTTACAGTTGTGTATTACAGTATTACACATTTTATGACAGAAATTTTACTCTCAATTTCATCTAGCTGCAGAACTGTAGCTCTCTGCTTGAGAAAATTCGGACAGACAAAGCAGAGAGCTACAGATCCAAGCGTTGTAAAAACCTTCGAATTACGCCGCTGCTTTTTTGTCGCTCGCTTCGGGTATTATTTCTTGTATTTAATGCTTTCCCCCACTTTTAAAATAGTACCCGATAATTAACCATATATTTTACTCCTATTCTTGATACCTTATTTACCTTTCAAAGGTCCCAAACAGCCCTTAATGGTTTTGGAATGTCGGTTTAAAAAATCACCATTCCGACGTCCATGTTTGGGGTCGTGCGAAAAAAATGTCTTTCAAAAAACATATAGATCTACTTGCCGAGAAAATGTAACTAAAAAATTCAGGAGGTTCAAATAGCATGTATAATGTCTACAAAGAATACAATACATATGTAAAAAAGAAATTAAATAAATAAAACTCGGGCGTGTTATTTTAGGATGACACCAACGTCGACGTCGGAATGCATTTTTTTTTTTACTGATATTCGAAAACCACATACGGCCGTCTGGAACCGTTGAAAGGTAAATAAAGTATCAGGAATATGAGTAAAATATATGGTTAATTATTGGATACTGTTTTTAAAGTGGGGAAAAGCATTAAATACAAGAAATAATACCCGAAGCGAGCGACAAAAAAGCGGCGGCGTAAATCGAAGGTTTTTACAACGCTTGGATCTGTAGCTCTCTGCTTTGTCTGTCCGAATTTTCTCAAGCAGAGAGCTACAGTTCTGCAGCTAAATTTCATCATAAAGATTAGAATTCTTATATTTAAGTTCTAGAAAGGAAGTCCTCATGAAATCACCTTTGATTAATTTTCATTAACATGGTTAATGTTAATAATGAAATGGCTGTTAACAGGAGAAGGCTAAATTGATGGAGGAGAGGAGGATTCAGGCCGAGATTTACAAGGAGTGGAGTCGTCAGCGAGATGATCTCGAGTGTGATGATCTCAAGGTCAGAACAAATTTAAAATCCCAAAATACTCTTTACACTTCTGTAAAATATTGTAAACTAGGTCTTTTTATAGAGAACAATAAGGATTTGGTTGAATGTTGATGATGAATGTGTTGAGTTTTTGATGATAATTTTCCCTGTTTAATTTAGCCCCTGCCTGAGTTGAAGGTTGTGCAGACTCATATCCAGAGTGGTTGTTTTGGAGATGCTTTGATGGTTATAGAATTCATCAACTGTTTCAAGTCTCTGTTTGATCTAAGGGAATACTTCCCTAAAGGATTCACCTATGGTATAAATATTTTTTTTCTTTGTCATTTAATACACTTTACATTTACATGCATAATCCCTTCTGAACATTTAGATAAACAGAATCAAAGTTATAGTTTAAAACAGCTTAGGGCAAAATTGGTTTGATTTATTCCTTTATTGTTATTTCATTGTGATTGTAGAGATTAACTATTTTCCTTTCATTATCTATTTGTAGAGATTCTAGAGAAAGCTTTACTGGAGACAGATCATAATGGCCTCATGACGGATATTCTGCTGATGATGATGTCGGCCATCTTCACTCTACAGGAAGAGGAAGAGGCTGAAGAAGAGGAACTGTCAAAGGAAGATAAGGCTAATCAAGGTAAAGTACGAGGGAAATCATGAGAAGGCTAATTAAGGTAAAGTACTGGGGAAATCAGGATAAGGCTAATCAAGGTTATGTTTTGGGGAATTACGGGTAGTGGAAGGTTTAACAAGGTAAAATAGGGAATTGTGATGGATATTGGGCCAGCAAGGTAATACTGAAGTTAATAGGCAAAGCAAGCCTAGGGTAATTCAAGTTAATTGAAATAAATAATGAAAAGGTGAAGGTTCTTTGGGTTACAGTGTTTGAAATACATGTAAATGGCAAGTAGAAAGTTAACTGAAGTTAAATAGTGGTAAGAGAAGGATGATCCAGAAATTTGGGGAGAGAAGCACATCAAGGTACATGTAAATAGGTTGGGAAATCATTGGAAGTTTAATGAGAGAAGTGAAGGGCAATGGAATATTGTTCTACTATGTACATGTATGTAAAATAGGTTTAATAATGGGCAGAGAAGACTGTAGTTAATAATAAATAGAAGGAAGGCAGGCTAATCAGTATTAAAATGGGGAAAAATCAAAGGGTAGGAGAAAGCTGATTATGGCTAAATGAAGGAAAGTAATGGACATGGGAAAGCTAAAGAGGGAAAATGTTTAAGTTGCAGACTTGGAAAGTTGGCAGTGGAGAATCTCTGGTAGATATTAACAGGCAATTTATAACAAATTAAAAAAAGGATGAAAAAATGACAAGACCTTATTTAGTAGATCGGAAAAGGATAAGAAATTCCTGTTATTATTAATTAACTTTTAACAGATATTACCAAACATCACACATGTGTATTTTGCATTGACAGTGACAGGAATGGAAGATATGGATGATACAATGGATATGGAAAACATGATGGACACAGCTACAATGTGTGCCCAGATCCCACAACTAACACATGGTAAGTGAATGAGTGCCCAGATCCCACAACTAACACATGGTAAGTGACTGAATTCCCAGATCCCAGAACTAACACATGGCAAGTGACTGAATTCCCAGATCCCGCAATAAACACATGGTAGGTGACTGAATTCCCAGATCCCACAACTAACACATAGTAAGTGACTGAGTGCCCAGATCCCACAACTAACACATGGTAAGTGACTGAATTCCCAGATCCCACAACTAACACATGGTAAGTGACTGAATTCCCAGATCCCACAACTAACACATGGCAAGTGACGGAATTCCCAGATCCCACAACTAACACATGGTAAGTGACTGAATTCCCAGATCCCACAACTAACACATGGTAAGTACTGTGGAATCATCAGTGTTCATGGGGGACAAATGTTCGTGGGTCACCCTTACCCATTAATTTACATCCCCTTGAACAGTTGTTTTTTTTTTAACATATTTATTCATTGAATCTTCTGTATATATGAACTACCCATTACATCCCAACAGACCAACAAAATTTTGCTTGCCCATGAACATTGACCACCATGAATTAAAGTGATTCCACAGTAACTGAACTCCAATATACCATAACTAAAAAATGGTAAGTGAATGAATTCCCCAATTCTATAAGTAACACATGGTAAATAACTGAATTTCAAATTCCTCAACTAACACATGGTAAGTGACTATTGCAGAGATCCCACAACTAACACATAATAAGTGATCAAGTGCCCAGATCTCGAAACTAACGCATGGTAGGTAACTGAATTCCCAGATCCCACAACTAACACACTTCTAAGTGACTGAATTCCCAGATCCACAACTAACACATGGTAAGTGACTGAATTCCCAGATCCCACAACTAACACATGGTAAGTGACTGAATTCCCAGATCCCACAACTAACACATGGTAAGTGACTGAATTCCCAGATCCCACAAATAATACATGGTAAGTGACTGAATTCCCAGATCCCACAACTAACACATGGTAAGTGACTGATGGTAACTAACATGGACATACATGTATAAATGAACTTAAAGTGAATTCAAATCTAAAAAATATGTAATTGTACATACATGGAGACTGAAATTAATTCTTTGATGAAGAGGTCTTGGGCAGTCAAAAAAAGTTATGGAATTTTTTATGCTTTATGGCTGCTTTAGGAAATAATGATTGAATGCCAAGTGTAACATTATACATTGTTTTTGCAGGTACACTATTGAGGAAGCTACCTCTCGACTCTTTCACCTTGTCTGAGATAGTCCGACTTCACATCCTGGCATCTGGAGCTAAAGTCAGCGATAAAAATGTCAAGTACCGCTACCAGCAGCGAGGGGGATACACATCACTGGACGACCCTGGTCTGCAGTTCAGGAAACAGGAACCGACTCTAATGAAACTTCTAGCAACAGAGAGCGTGTTTGACTTGCAACCAAGTAAGGGAGTAAAGTAACACAAACTGTAGTCATTTCTCAGTATATTTGAGAGATCAGGATTGTGTATTTCTCAGTATGATTAAGTCATAGCTATCACTATGTAGAGCACTGTATATGAAACTGCCTTTATTGTATATTTATAAACAAGAACAAGTTAATCAAACCATTGGCATGCACATATGTAGAAAAGTGCAAAGTAAAGCAAGGGCAGGCTTGCTGGGTCCCCAGGGAATCTGTAATGTGGGTACAATTGCCTGAAAGTGGGGGGTGGGATAGTCCATTATTGTACATGAATGCTGTCTGAAATTTAATTGCGGTCTGTTTTGTACTGTTCAGGCCAATTACAGATGTACATGTAGATTAACAAGATGACTGAACAATTCTGGCCAGATATTTCCACAAAGAAAGATGATAACTAGCAACAGCTAAACAGATGCTAAGGAGAAAACTATTAGTGATAATGAATTGTTTACATTGGATGATATGGTACATGTGTATATGTAAGTTCATGTTTTACAGGTGATAAGCTGAAAATCCTGAATCTGTTGGTCCAGCAGTTTTTAACATACGCTGCTACTAGGGACACAATAGAGGATAATTATGATAAGCTGAGACAGCTCAAGTATGACCTCCGACATCTACAGTGGGCGGAGCAAAGGAGAGAGAAGGAGGAGCTGGCCATGAGGTAAACCAATCACAACTCAGCTTTAAGGATACTAAAATTTGGAATAACTTCTGAGTCTTAAAAGAACATACATGTACGTGTGGAATTTGAATGCGATATAGTACTCTAAATGTGCTCTGATTTAGTTGTTTAGTTGAAGGAATTTACTTAAAAGTCAGATTCTGTTTTAGAAAAAGTAATCTTTGTGAGGTTTTAAGTATGCTGATTATTTTAGGCTAGATATCTATGACAATTTCTGTCTCATCAGAAAAGCTATGTTAAGTCAGCTCTCATTGACAGTTTCTGTTGTCTCTCTCTTCAGGTACAAGAGAAGAATGGAGGAGAAGCAGAGGGAGAGGGAGAAAGCTGAACAGAGGAGACAGAAACATCTGAGGGAGCTAGAGGAAAGGATGAAAAGGGAAGAGGCAGGGTAGGTCTATTAGTGGGAAGAGGGAGGGTAGGTCTCTAGTGGAAGAGGCAGGGTAGGTCTGCTAGTGCGAAGAGGTGGGGTAGGTCTCTAGTGGAAAGATGAGGGGTAGCTCTCTAGTGGAAAGATGCAGGGTAGGTCTCTAGTGGAAAGATGAGGGGTAGGATGTGGGGTAGGTCTCTAATGGAAAGATGCAGGGTAGGTCTCTAGTGGGAAGATGTGGGGTAGGTCTCTAGTGGGAAGAGGCAGGGTAGGTCTCTAGTGGGAAGATGCAGGTTAGGTCTCTATTGGGAAGAGGCAGAGTAGGTCTGCTAGTGGGAAGAGGCAGGGTAGGTCTACTAGTGGGAAAAGGTGGGATAGGTCTCTAGTGGGAAGAGACAGGGTAGGTCTGTAGTGGGAAGATGCAGTGTAGGTCTACTAGAGAAAGAGGCGGGGTAGGTCTCTAGAGGGAAGATGCGGGGTAGGTCTCCAGTGGGAAGAGGTGGGGTAGGTCTACTAGGGGAAGAGGCAGGGTAGGTCTCTAGTCTAGTGGGAAGAGGCAGGGTAGATCTACTAGTGGGAAGAGGCGGGGTAGGTCTCTAGTGGGAAGATGCAGGGTAGGTCTCCAGTGGTAAGATGCAGGATAGGTCTACTAGGGGAAGAGGCGGGGTAGTTCTCCTATGAAAAGAGGTGGGATAGGTCTTCTAAGGGACAAGGCGGGTAGGTCTTTTAAGTTAAAAGGTGGGGTTGGTCTGCTAGGGAAATTTGTAATAGTAACTTATTTACGTGTGAAAGATTTGTGTCAGAGAAGATTGAGAGAGAAAACATGGGACTAATGAACATGTAGCAATGGCTTATTTATATGGGTAAGGTAAGAAAAGATGGAGATAGATGGAGAGAGAGGAGGAATGGATAATTCAGTGCTTCCTAACCTGTGAGGAATTTCATGTCTGTATTTTAGGGAGACTGTTGATGATGATGTGAAGATCATGGAAGAAGAGGAAGAAGATGATGATGATGTTGCCATGACAGAAGAAGAGAAGGAAGCCCAGAGACAAAGAGAGGAGGAGGAGGATGCCAACAAGAAGGCAGAGTTTGCTCTACAGGAGAGACAGATGATTGACAAGGTCCTCAACTTCCAGCACTCCTGCACCCTGGCCCCCATAGGGAGGGACAGAATGTTCAGGAGGTACTGGGTGTTCCAGTCTATACCAGGACTTTTTGTGGAGGATCAGGAGGAGTTTGTGGATGAGAGAGGATGGGAGATCGCACCACAGAAACTCACAGTATCGATCGTAAAACCACCTCAGATGTCCAAATCAGAAAAAACGGAGGAACACAGTAATGGGAGTGATAAAGAGAACGAGTCGTTTAATACGTCCACTGCCAACAACAGTATTAACACCAGTCAAAACCTCTCAACAGCAAATCCTAACGACACAGCTAATCCAAGTGATTTACCTCAAAATACTCGGGACAAAAAGAGTGATGATGATGCAATTACAATAAGTGATGATGAAAACTCAAAGCCGGCCTCTGTGAAAGAGGACACTGATGAAAACGAGGCAGTGACACAAATTAAAAAACGCAAGAAAAATACTTGGATGTTCTTAACAAGTATTGAACAATTTCATGACTTAATTAACTCTCTCAATGAGAGAGGATTTAGGGAAAGTGCTTTGAAGACAGCTTTGTTAGAGAGGAAGAATGTGATTCTGGAGAATATAGAAGATTGTCCCTCGGACATCCTCTGTCAGTCTGTCACTGCTAGCCTTTCTAGGGAGGAGACCAGGTCAGAATCTCCCTCAGAGTTAACATTTAAATCGACAAGGTCTGGACCAAAGAGGACATCCAAGGGTTTAATTAAAAATAACAGTGCTCAGGAGATACTCGAGATAAACCTACGGGAGCTGCTGATTGACTTAGAGGAAAGAATCCATGTCGGAGGTTTGGGGAAAATAAAGGTGGGTCTGGATGAAGTTTTGTCGTCCTCTCTAAATATTTACATATAACTTTACAGATAGAAACCATTATTTCATAACAAGAATTCTTATACAACATGTATGTATTTTACAGGTAAATGATAGACAGGCCTGGAGGAGTGCTATAGAGAAGGGAAGTTATGACCCGCAGACTGACGATCCTGTGTTTCAGAGGCATGACATCAGCTTCAATGAAGGGTATTGAATTACCTTTTTTTGGCACAAATTTGTCTTGCATGACCTTTTTTTTAATAGCAAGGTTATACTGGTACTGTATTAGTAAAATGAAATGGAGACTTTTTCCCTTTTGCCAATTTCTTTGTGTGCCCTGAACTTTGTAAAGGCCTGAGTTGTACTTAAAAATATTGTGACTTGAATGAGTTCATTGTAAAAGGTGAAGATAACGAACAGTGATGAATCTCAAAAATCCAGTTAAAAATAAAAATCTGGAACAGGGCAAAACATGGACTGCTGGAACACCGAGGTGGGATCAGGTGACTAGGAGGAGTAAGTATCCCCTGTCACACAGGGTAGACAGAGTAATGCATAGCTGAATTTAGTATAAAAGCAATGATCTAACAAGTAGCATGAAACTTTTGAGTATATATTTGCCCATGACCTTTGTAAAGGTAAATCATAATCGCGACTCGCTGATCTATCACAGGTCAAGGACAATAGCCTTTGAGATATCAAAGTTTTATCCAGACAGGAACTTTGGAATCCTTATCTGCTTTGTTTAAAGAACAGACTTAACTGGCAAATATCACCAGTTACAAATAAACTGATTCTGACAATTTCTTTTAGTTCACTCCATATAAACAGGTATTTATGTAAACTTCTACTTGATGGGTGTATGTGTGTCATGGCCAGATAATTTTTGTTTTCAGTGATGATGATGATAAGTCGATCTCCTCTGAAGAAACGCGGGAGTCGGTGGTTAAAGATCTCTCTAAGGCACTCCTACAGATCGCCATGGGTGTAGAACACAAATACATGGGGCCCCCACTAGGTATTAAACAAAATCATGACATCTGTTTCAGAAATGTTTTGATTTAAACATTTCTCATTGCATAAAATGCTACTTATACATGTAACTTTAATTTTTTGCTGTTGAAGACGGAACAATAATGACCAACTTTAAACAAGTCAAATGTTGTGAATTCCAGGAGTCACTGATGTAAAATCAAAGGCTGGCATTAAGAAGAAGGATGGTAAAAAATCAGAGGACGGGGGCTCTGATGGTAAGAACACAGAGACAGCTGAAGGTGGACAGACTGTCCAAAAAAAAAAAAAATGGACATCTTGCATTTCCCTAGACCAAAGAATAAATATTTGGACAAATCTGTCATTTTTTTTCCCTAGACAGAATAATTACAAATGCTTTTCCCAATAGCTACCAATACCAAGTTACCTAACAACTAACAATTTTAAGTATTTATAGATGAGGACAGCAAACAAGAGGAGAGTGTCCCTGAGAAGACGACGATGGAGCGCTGGGAAGACTCGGTGTTGTTCTGTTCTAGTCTGGCTCAGGTCTTCCTACATCTCTCCACACTGGAGAAGAGCATCATCTGGCAGAAGTCGGCTCTGCACGCTCGCTGCAGGATCTGTCGACGGAAAGGCGACGCTGAACAAATGCTGCTTTGTGATAAGTGTGACCGAGGACATCACATGTACTGTCTGAAACCCAGGCTTAAGGTGTGTAGAACAATGTCCATTATCTTAAGATGATGAGTTTGGGGCAGTACTAAAATATTGTTTTCAGTCTTTGGATATACCTTATCTGATACAATGCTTAGTTTTCAGCTGTTTATTGACCTTATCAAATACAATATTTTCATTCCTTGGATTGTCCTTGACCTTATCCAATACAATATTTTGTTTCAAGTCCTTGAGTTGACCTGATTCTTTGTTTTCAGCATGTTCCCAAGGGTGACTGGTTTTGTCCAGATTGTAAACCTAAGGAGACCAAGAGAAGCCCCCTCAAACAGAGGAGGAGGACATTTACAGAGAATGAGTCTGAGGACGAGGACGACATCGAGGAGGACGAGGAGGAGGACAGGTGGGTTACCGTAGTAACAGATAAATAGTCTCATAGTAACCACTGATGTATTGTCTCTGTCATGATAACGGTGACATTCTCATAGAAATTGATTATTCTTACAACAATCTTTAACTTGTTCTCTAGAAGTTCGGAGGTTTCTGATTGTTGTTAGTCCTTTGTGTTTTAATCAAAGTATGTTATCTGAGAACCTTCTGATGAAATGGATATTCATAACATTCTATCGTTTGTTATTGCATATTTCATTACACTTTGACACTTAGGGCTATTCCAGGAAAACTTGTATGGGGTAGTTGGAAGGCACTTTTATTTTTACCCCACCACTCATACATTTTTTATTACCTTCTACCCCACCCCCCATCAATTTAAAATTGCTTTTGATACAACCACCCATCTAAATTTAAAAAAAAAAATTTATGTACTTTTTTCAGGTATTTGTAATTTATCTGACTTCGAATGAGTGTTGGGTTTTGACGTCTATCCAACCTGGGCCCGTTTTACAAAAGAACTTATGACTAAGATCAAAATGTTATTATGCAAATAAATTTCTTATTCGCATTACTTTATAAATGTTGTAATTCTTTCTGAAAAAAAAATGAGATAGTTTTATGTCAACAATTTTTAACAGAAACATAAGTACTGTAAGATTTTATGAACAACTAAAGTTTTTAGTCTTAGTCATAAGTTTTTTTGTAAAACAGTTCCCCGTGTTCCTGCTACAGCTTAAAAAAATATGTTCCTTTAGGCCTATGATACACACCACTGAAAGCCTTTATTATAGTGATTTGTATATCTGTTCTGATGCATGACTTTGTAGTCTGTAAAGCTTAGGTAAAGCTTTTACAAGTATGTATACACATGTACTAGTAGAAATGACATTCCTACAATTAATTAAAATTAATACTTTTTTTTCTACTTTCGGTTTAAAATAAAACGATCTTTCTGATTGTTTCTAATATCATTTAATTTACCAATGTAATCATGTTTGATTAAACTGGCGAAAAGAAACTGGACCAGAGAGTCCGAAGCACAACTAATCCGTTTTCCAATCCCCCACTGTCATTGCAGTCACAGTTGCACATGCTTTTTAGCTCACCTGAGCCGAAGGCTCAAGTGAGCTTTTCTGATCGAAATTTGTCCGTTGTCTGTCGTCGTTGTCATTGTCGTTAACTTTTCACATTTTCATCTTCTTCTCCAGAACTACTGGGCCAATTTCAATCAAACTTGGCACAAAGTATCCTTGGGTGAAGGGGATTCAAGTTTGTTCAAATGAAGGGCCACTCCCCCCTCCAAGGGGAGATAATTGCGAAATATCAAAAAATTAATGGCATTATTGAAAAATCTTCTTCTCAAGAACCAATGGGCCAGGAAAGATGAAACTCATGTGGAATTATTGTCAGGTAGTGTAGACTCAAATTTGTTCAAATCATGACCCCAGGGGGTAGGGTGGGGCCACAATGGACGATCAAAGTTTTACATAGGGATATATAGGAAAAATCTTCAAAAATCTTCTTCTCAAGAACAGCAAAGCTATGATTGGTCATATTTATATGGAAGCATCCTCAGGTGGACTAGATTCAAGTTTGTTCAAATCATGACCCCCGGGGGTAGGGTGGGGCCACAATGGACGATCAAAGTTTTACGTAGCAATATATAGGAAAAATCTTCAAAAATCTTCTTCTCAAGAACAGCAAAGCAATGATTGGTAATATGTAAATGGAAGCATCCTCAGGTAGTGTAGAATCAAGTTTGTTCAAATCATGACCCCCAGAGGTAGGGTGAGGCCACAATGGACGATCAGAGTTTTACATAGGTTTATATAGGAAAAATTTTCAAAAATCTTCTTCTCAAGAACAGCAAAGTTATGATTGGTCATATTTATTTGGAAGCATCCTCAGGTGATGTGGGTTCAAGTTTGTTCAAGTCATGACCCCCGGGGGTAGGGTGGGGCCACAATGGAAGAATAAAGTTTTAATTAACATAGGAGTATATAGGAAAAATCTTCAAAATCTTCTTCTCAAGAACAGCAAAGCTATGATTGGTAATATTTATACGGAAGCATCTGCAGGTGGTGTAGATTCAAATTTGTTCAAATCATGACCTCCAGGGGTAGGGTGGGGCCACAATGAAAGTTCAAACTTGTAGAGAAAAAAATCACAGTCAAAAAATCATGTAAGCATCCTTAGTTAGTGTAGATTTAATTTTGTTCAAATCATACCCCCCCCACCCACTCCCTTTTAGGGGTAGGTTGGGACCACTTATGCATTTAAGCTTTTCATTCCTCTTTTCCTAGCCACAGTGCTCAGGTGAGCGATGTGGCCCCTGGGCCTCTTGTATAGTTATCTGCCCTTGTTTCCGTTTTGTTCGATTCTACTTTCACTTTCAATGTAAACACACTTTACAAACTGTTTAGGACAAAAATATCAGTATTTACCGATTTATACAAAATGAGAGGAAAGAAGTACTTTGCACTTGATTATTTGTGAGGGTAAATACAACCACCTATCTAAAAATATATCGAGTGAGGACAACCACTCATACAAATTTAATTGCTCCAGACCCACTATCCATACAAAAATATATGAAGTGCCATCCAACCCTCCCGTACATTTTTTCCTGGAATAGCCCTAAATGAACCACATGCTGTACAGCCAGTAATATGTGTTACTTGTTCTGAGCTCTGTGCTAATAATTCTGAGCTGAGTATTTACACTCTGTTTCCAGTGATGAGGAGATGATGGAGGAGTCAGACGAAGAAGACGAGGAAAATGACAATGTTTGTGCCGTGTGTAGCACGGGGGGAATGCTAGTCTGTTGTGACACCTGTCCCCTCGTCTACCACCTGGACTGTGCCATCCCCCCACTTAAAAAGGTTCCCCGCGGGAAGTGGCAGTGTCAACTCTGTACTGGGATCACCACCACAGGGAAGATAAAACTGCCCAAAGGTTAGCTGAAAAACAAATATTTGATTTCTGTCTTCTAATTCTTTGAAGCTGATTTTAATACAGGGCACACATTTGTTCCATTTTATAATATAGTAAAACATGCTTATAATGAAGTGCCAGGGATGGACGATTTTGGTTCGATATAAATGTAATTCTTTATACATATATCTGTAAAGTTCACAATATACATGTATTTTATAGCTATGGGGAATAAAAATCACTTTGCTGTAAGCGTCAATTCATTATAAGCGTGTTCACTATAAGCATGATGATTTTAATTTTGTTCTTTAGACTAAAAGCATAAACTATGGGCAATTTCATGAAATACAGTAAATAGTGTGCAAAAAAATGTTAAAAAAATTAGTAAATCTTGTTTTTATTTTGTAGCTAAAGCTGGTAAAAAGAAATCCCATATAAAGAGTACACCAAATTCTAGTAAAGCCTCTTCAAGGAAGGGAAGTCCGCGAGACAGTCCACTCACGGTCAAACAGGGGAAGAAACGAGACTGGGAGGACATGGATGATGATCTCACTCCAAAATCACGGGGCAAGGGACGACCCAAGTCTAAACTGTCAGATGTTAATGGAGGTTGGTTACATTTATATAAATACTGAAGTCATTTTCCTTAAAGGTAAACTCTTTACTTGTTATTTTTCTCCCATTTTGAAATTTAACACAGTCAAAGCATTAACAAATTTGATGAATATCTGAATTATTATCATAGAAATTAAGTGAAATCGCATGATAAATTTAATATGATGTCATACAGGAAATGACAGTTCTGTGTACGTGCTTATGGTTACATTTATAACAAAGGAAATATTTGCGTTGAGCTTCTTTAACACTCTAGCAATTACGTGTGTATTTGGGTTATATATAATGAACATTTGATATATATGTAGATTTTTTTTTTAATGAAAACTAAATCCCAAAGTACAAAGTTACCGGTATAAGGAGTTTACATGTAAGAATGCTAAATGTGAATGCTTCCATTTTGTAAAAGATTTCTTTTCAACAGAGGAGATAAAACAGTATGTCAGCAGTTCCCGTGGCAACAGCAAAGTTCAAAGTTTAAAGGTTGTGCAGGATATCATCAATGACTTAGTGAAACACGAGGACAGTTGGCCATTCCTGAAACCTGTCAGCAAGAAATTAGTAAGTGTTAATCAGTACTATTACATCATAAGACGTTTTCCTATTTATACAGGTTCTTGATTACTATGACATAGATTCAACATAGGCTTGAGTATCGCAGATGACTTCAATATATGATACATATCACAATAATGATACACGATACAATTCTATATCAGGATACAATTATATGTAGAATGTTATAAAGAAAATTCTTATATCCATTTAGCAGAATTAAAAAAAAGGGTTAACACTAGCTGATGAAGAACAATTTATTGTGAAACTTTACCTGATAAGTACAGCTGAACTTTGATATCTTCAACACGGATATCTTGAATACCATGGATATGTCCAAGTGATTTAAAAGTCCCAAACTCTTTTTATTTAAGTATTTTACCCTCAATATCTCAAACTCTCGGATATCTGGAAGTTTTTTTCTTGGTCCTTTCGAGTTCGAGATAACGAGGTATGACTGTCACTGTAGAAATAAATGAGTTTATAATTTTGGTACCTGTTTCTATAGTTTCATTAGCCACCATGCTTTTGAATGCTATTTTATTTATCAAGTTATTGTTCTGTTAAAAAAAAATAACTTCCTGTATCCTGATTCTAGAGTGACAATACAACACAAGTTTCATTTAGACACGTGTTCAATATGATCAATATATTGCAGTATCATTACAACTCTAAGACATCATTTTCCTCTCTTTCTAAAAGAGGCTTTTAAAATTACTATGGCATCATTTTCTTATTTCCCAGGTTCCCGATTACTATGACATCATTGCCATTCCTATGGATTTCTCTACGATTCGTAACAAACTGAACAACTATGAATACGTTGAAGTCTCTGAACTGATAAGTGATGTCAGACAAATCTTCTCCAACTGTTTTGAGTACAATAGGAAATCCACAACGGAACACAAGGCCGGGGCAACGCTGTCCAAGATGTTTGAAAAGAGAATTAAGGAGGCTCACCTAGAGAAAGACTCGCCCGAACCCCCACCAAGTAAACGTCAACGTAAACATTAATTAGGATATCGTTATCTTGTCTTAATATTTGACATTTTTGAAAACTGCCACTTTACCTGTAACATGACTTAACAATGGACACAGGCAAACCATAAAACTTAAATATGAATTATATCTACATGTCAGGAGGCATATTAAAACTCACTGAAAAACATCATGTGATTTTAGATAAAAAAAGGTCATGTGTTGTTAGACTTTATTGATTTCAGTAGAATTGTGATCTTAGAATGTTCAGTAATTTATTTCAGGCACTTTTGTGTACTTTTAACCTTTTTTTCTTCTAAATGTGAATGTGATAGTTTGTTTTCAATTTATTCATCAATTTAACTATTTAAGTTATAAAATGTTTGTAAATAAAGTATTTGTGTCTGGTTTCTATGAACAAGAAATAAATTACTTTATATGAGAAACAAGGTCCGTTTCTTACGATCACGTGTTCTCTGTGTGTGTAACTTCATTTTCTGTGTCTTGCTTACATATCATTGTAATTTTGTATAACTATTGTGCCATGCTTTGTTAGGGCCTCACAAGGATTCACTGGTGCCCTATATTCTTTCAAAATACTACTTCTCCAGCAGGTTTGGTCTAATTTTGATAAAACGTGGAAGACAGGTTTTCTTCACCACAGTACACATTAAAATTTCGAATGTGGCCTTGATCAATGAAAGTAGAGTAGTCTACTTCTGTATAGGGATCAAAATTGAGTAGCATTTTGAGAAATTGTTTACAGAGGGAGAGAGAGACAGACACAGATGCATCAGATCTGATGATATTTGATCAAAAAGGAAATTAAAAATAAGAAATGTAATTATGAAATTTTAAGATATTTCCTAAATGACATGTTTATCAACTACCTGTGAATAAAAATGGAAAACTGACCAGTAAACAAGTGTCCTGCATAGACTACTTTAAAATTTGGGTATTCGGTCTAGTCCTTTAAAAATCTTCTTAAGAACCACTGGGCCAGAAAAGATAAAACATATGATGGCTTCCTGACATAGTATAGATTCAGATTTGTTCAAATCATGACCCTTGGGCTAGGGTGGGGCCACAATGGGCAGTCAAAGTTTTGGAAAAAACCTTTAAAATTTTTTTCCCTGGAACAGCAGAATCATGATAAGTCATATTTATAGGTAAGCATCCTCAAGTAGTGTAAATTCAAGTTTGTTCAATTCATGACCCCCTGGAAAAATTTTTAAAAATCTCTTTTCCCAGAACACCAAAATTTTGATTAGTCATATGTATATGAAAGCCTCCTCATATAGTGTAGATTGTTCAAATCATGACTCCACTGGGATAGGGTTTGGCCACTATGGGCAATCAAAATATGTAGGAAGAATCTTTAAAAATCATCTTGTCAAGAACACCAAAGCCATGATTAGTCATATTTAAGTAGAAGCATCCTCAGGTAGTGTAGGTTCAAGTTTATTCAAATCATGACACCTGGGGGGGGGGGGGGGTCCTACTAAACAGAGTACGATAGAGTACGCTAGTAAAAATAATTTAATGCAATTTAACTACTTTTTGTATGTTTTTCTACTTTAGTTAAACATAATGAATATATATTTTAAATTAGATTTGCATGTTTTCCTTATTTTAGGAGTTATCTCAAATTCTGATTTCAGGTGACGGTTTATCGTTTGATCCCGATCTAATTTAACTTGAACATGTTGAAATGTTTCATTGTTAATGTAAAAAATATTCATATAGGGCAATAAATTTAATTTTTGATAAAATTTAGTTGAAGTTAGTAAGTCTGAAACAAAATATTAATCGAGATCAGTGTTAATAATCTTTAACAGTTTAATGCATTGAATTATGAATGATATTTTCTTGTCAAAATAGCGCTAAAAACAAATATTTTGAAATAAATATTGCAATATTAGTTTATAATAATGTTTAATCGAGTTATATTTACACAAATAAACAGTTTAATTGCATTGAACTACACATTTTTTCTAGCGTACTCTAAAGTACGCTCTCGTACTCTAGCGTACTCTGTTTAGTAGTACCCCTGGGGGGGGGGGGCACAACGGGCAATAGGAATACATAGGAAAAATCTTTTTAAGAAAAAGAAAGCCTTTATGTGTCATATTTATACGGAAGCATCCCCAGGTAGTGTAGATTCAAGTTTGTTCAAATCACGACCCCCAGGGATAGTGGGTTTTACATAGAAATATACTGAAACGCAAAAGTAACGCAACATCCTATTTCAGAGGGGAAAATTATATAAAGGATATAATTTTGTATCTAAAAAGTACGGATATCTTCAACTTTGTAGGTATCGATAATTTAACGGTTGAATGATTTTCATGCCATAACCGGAAGTTAAGTTTGAGCCCGCTTAACAGAAATCAAGAATTGCATGTTTAACAAAACATTTGACAAAAATATGGAGTTTTAAGGGTTTGTATCTGTTTATCAAAAGTAATGCAGGAATATTCCGCAAAATAAATTCTTCTTTCGTTTCCGGAAGAGATGCCAAGGCTTCCCGAAAATGACTTGCATGTAAATATGCATTTCAAATGCTCTAGCTGGAAAATCTGAAAACAAAGGTGATGGAGAACTGCAGATGCAAAAATGCACGACAACACGCCTCAACAGGCTCATACGTATTATTAGCATGAATGATAGTCCGTGGACCGGAAGTCCAAGTGTTACTATACTGCGCGGCTAGGTTAGAGAAAATTCGACTTAGTCATCTGAAAAACGGACATTTAAAAATGGCAAAGAATATTTTTTTCTCGCTCAGATCTCGAGATTGATGAACCTATTGCATCGTGGAAATCAAGCTGCAATTGTTGTGCATGCCAGTCTTCCACGCTATAATTGAATGGCTGAGAAGGGGGGTGTTTTAACAGTCTTGTGTTACTTTCTAAAGTTAAAAGATAATCATTTAACATTGTTATCAAATCTCTGATGTTTTTAAATCGAATTTAACTCAACTGTAATCAGTTTTGAAAATCATTAGTTAAAAGGTTCAAATATTTGTAGATTACTGCTTGTTGCGTTTCTTTTGCGTTTCAGTATATATAGGGTAACGCATACTAATGAGCTATCACCGCAACACACTTCATGGTTTTTAAAGCGACAATGAAGCACCGCATTTACACACTGAATTTTTTTTTTTTTTTTTTTTTTTTTTTTTTTTTTTTAGAAAAGTTCATTTTGTAGCTCACCTCAACGAAGTCGAGATGAGCTTATGCTATACCCCGGTGTCGGCGTTAGCGTCGGCGTCCCGGTTAAAGTTTTAGGAGCAAGTCCATTCCCAAGTAACTATAAGCCCTACCTGGACCAAACTTGCATGGATGATGCATCTAGGGATGGACACTACCACACTTGCTTCGGATGCTGGATCTGACCTAGATTTTCCAGATGAGTGACCAGGTTAAAGTTTTTTGAGCAGGGCCATTCCCAAGTCACTATAAGCCCTACCTGGACCAAACTTGTATGGACGATGCATCTAGGTATGGACACTACCACATTGCTTCGGATGCTGGATCTAACCTACATTTTCCAGTTGAGTTACCAGGTTAAAGTTTTTGGAGCAAGTCCATTCCCAAGTCACTATAAGCCCTACCTGGACCAAACTTGCATGGATGATGCATCTAAGGATGGACACTTCCACACTTGCATCGGATGCTGGGTTTGACCTAGATTTTCCAGATGATCATGAGTGACCAGGTTAAAGTTTTTGAAGCAGGTCCATTCCGAAGTAAATATTAGCCATACCTTGAACAAACTTGCATGGATGATGCATCTAGGGATGAACACTACCACACTTGCTTTGTATGCTGGATCTGACCTAGATTTTCCAAATGAGTGACCAGGTTAAAGTATTTGGAGCAGGTCCATTCACAAGTATAAGCCCTACCTGGACCAAACTTGCATGGATGATGCATCTAGGGATGTACACTGATCAACCTGCTTCGGATTCTGGATTCGACTAGATTTTGCACATGAGTGAATTTTAGCCATATTTTAACCAAACTAGCATGGATGATGTAGCTAGGGATGGTCACTTCCAGACTTGCTTTGGATTCTGAATCTGACCTACATTTTCCAGATGAGTGACCAGGATAATTTTTTTTGGAGTAGCTATATAACATTATGGCCTAGCTAGTTGTTATGATTAAATTTGCATAGATGGTGCATCTAAGGATGAAAACTTCCAGACTTACTTTGGATGTTGGAACTGACCAAAATTTTCTGGATGAGTAAACAGGATAAACTTTTTTTGAACAGGTCTATTTCCAAGTAACTATAATGTCGTACTTAAACCAAACTTGCATGGATATTGATCTTGGAATGTACACTAACTAAAAAAAGAATATGCTGTGAAATTTGCCTTATTTAAAGATAATATTCGTCGAGGTGACGATTGCCTATGTTTATCGTCTCTGGGTCTTCTCTCCATTTTTTACAAATGTTTGTTAGTTTCTTTGAATTAAAATGCACACAAATAACGTTTCAAGATCATGGAGAGATGACCCAGAGATAGCAAATTTTCAGAAAAACGTGTTTAAAAATGTAACATTTTGTATCAAATGACTTATCTAGCCAATTTTCAAGTTCTTTTTTAGCAAATCAAAATACATTATCGGGAAAATATTTCCCTTTCCTATTTCACAGGAACCCGATACATGAAAAGAATGCTAAAATTTCATGTGACAGATCAATGAAATTTTCACTTTTGAAGTGCGCCCATATTCCTGCCGAATGCCAATCAAAAGCGCCCTCGTTTTTTTGTTGAATTCGTTATAACGAATTCAAAAATTTGTTTTTATAGATTAAATTCGATTAAACGAAATTTAAAATTTGTTATAACGAATTAAATGTATTTAAGGTAGTCCGATCCTCAGATTCTGAAAGTCAGGCATTGAATAATTAAAATTTGAAGAAAATTGCGTGATTTTTATACAATTCTTTAGTTTCTTCTGTGTACTTCAAATATTTCATAACATAGTTTATAAAGTGTTTCCTATCATTGCAAAAGACCATAAATCATTTCTAATTTCATATCATGATAATTAGCA